ATCACCAGGTCATGAAAGGGATCTGCCTGGAGCCTGTTCTCCCCTCTTTGCTGTGGAGACCATGGCTTGTAGTGAGGACCTAAGGATATAAGGACCTGTGGCTTTCTGCTGTAAGAATTTGATCCATGAATTTGAGTCAGGCAGGCAGCTGGGGCATGGTGCAGGGGAGCTGGAGGTGTTGGCAGCCAGAGCACTTGCAGGGCTGTTGTGTGCAGGAAGAGCAGGCCAAGGAGGCAGACACATTCAAGGCTCCAAGAGGAGAGAATAGGGTCTGAAGAAAGATTGTGCCCTTTGGAGAAGCTGTATACCAAACGATGGAGGATTCAAGTGGAAAAAGCTCAGATGACAAGAGTTTATACCCAGGTGTAGATCCAGCCTTGCCAGGGAGAACCTGGGGACACATGGCTCAGGGCTCCCTAGCCCCAGGGGACCTCCGAGCCCAGAGAAGCAATGATCCAGGTACCTGGACTTTGGCCCTTGTATAACCCTTCTGAAGTAAAGGAGCCAGGGATCTGGGTGGAGTGTCCCATGAATGGGCCAAGGACAAGAGAAGAAAGACAAGTTCACTCATCTCATTCTAATTTATCCTCTCTGTGGTAGAACACTGTGGGCTGAGAATGAGATGGCCCTGTACCTGCTGATTCCCAGGACCCATGGGAGGCCAGACTGCCCAGGGTGTGACCTTTATCCTGTTACCCCTGCTATGGATGCTGGGAAAGTGACTGCCCCACAGCATCTTCCTTTTGGTGGAGAATGAATATTTACACATGCTCCAAGAGCAGGCAATCCAAAATTCAAGAACAGGTGGAGATCAGAAGCATAGAAAGGCCACTGCAGGGGAAAGGGCTGATGGGAGAATACACCAGAGTTCCCAGCTTGGCCTCTAGATTGTCTTTGTCCTTCATATTCATCTGTGACATGATAAACATACAATTACAAGGTGGTGGATCCACACATGTAAGTAAGCACCTGGGTGGACCTCTGTATCTGCAGATCATACACAGCCCACCCAGAGCACCTTGTGAGCAATGTGCATCTGAACACATTCTGCCTATGGGAATGTGCCAAGGGCAGATAAGGATGAAAGGGACAGAGGCCTCAGTGTAGGGCTAGTGGGCTGGAATCCCTCAAAGGTCTCACTGCTTAGTGTTGGTGGGGAAGCAGCTTTACCTCTCAACTCCCTCATTTGATCCTTTAAGGAAGTGAAGCCCACCAACCATCCAATATACCTGCTCATACCCATTCACTAACAGTCAGTGATGCACTCACATCACAGTATACTTACAAGTTCTCACACATGTTCAATGGCATGCACTGAAACACATTCACACAAAATGATACACATGTTCACATTCAATGACACACTCACACACAGGGATTCTTGATATCAGAACTCTTACTCTAACACATACTCCATGACACTCATGTCCTCATTCACACATCAGTGACATACACCCATTTAGTGACACACATGATTTCTTATGCATTCATTCATACTCTGAGAAATACATGCTAACACATGCCCACACACATACACACAGTTATACCTGCTCAGTGATCAAAAGTATACATGGGCCAACTCTGAATTCAGGACAGATCAGAACAAGGAAGCCTAGTGTTCTGGCTGGGATCAACCCCTTATTCTACTCATTTTCTCCTGTCCCCATCAAGTTTGGAGGAACTCCTAGAAAGTGACCAGTTGCCTTGGCCCTGCTGAGACACACTGCATTGCCTGAAGGAGGCAGGGAGAGCAGAGTTCAACTGGAGGCACCATCCCAATCCCGCAGGTTGTCCTGATGGGACTCACCCCCAAGAGACTCTTGAGATGCAGGCCAAGTCCTGAGTGCCAAACACTCTGCAATTATGACCCACTGACATGCCACCTATCACTCATCCCATGTGCACCCCCAGGACTCCCCCATGTTCTGTGTGTGCCCAGGTCTCTGAGGGCTCTTCCATTGGTGCAGCTCCACTATCTGCAGCCCTGACGTGGCTGGGTCACCAGATGCAGACTCCAGTATCTGGCCCTGGCTCTTGACTACTAGAAGACTGTGTCCTTCATCTGTACAGTGGAGGTGGTCAAAGGTTCTATCCCTGAAAAATGGCTGGAAGACACCTGCAGACACAGACTGAGGAAGCCTCAGACACTTCCATTTGTATATAAACGGTACCAAGGGCTCAATAGACTGAAAGGACACAGCAAAGGAAGGGACCCCTCCCCAGGCCCATCCAAATTCTCATATTCATTGCTTAGTACTGCTCCCAGGACCCAGGGATGGCCCCCCTCCCAGCTAGTACTCAGTGTGTAATGTGACTCTGTCTTCCCACCCCATGGCATGAGAATGTGGAAGCCCTGCTCTGTCCACCCTCTTCCCAATGACCAACCTCCCAACACCACTATCCCTAAAGGTCCCTCAGTGGCTACACTAGCAGTGGCCATCTGTTGGCTGCCTGAGGCAGGGAAAAGCAGGTGGGGTGGGTTAGAAAATGTCACCCCTGCCCTCCTGTCTTGTACACAGCTCCTGCTGGGGACATCTGACCTCATGCCAGGGCCCTTCTATGGCCCTTCCCTGACCTTGTCTGCTAGCCCGGGAGCACACACGTGGCCTGTCTGACCTGGCTGGATGCCCCGATTCCCACCCCTCCACCCCCGTGCACTGCTGGGAATCCTGTGGTCCTGTGCCCTCCCTTCAATGCCTAACCCACTTATTCCCAAGTGCTCTGGGGAGCCAGAAAGACAGTGCCCACCCACAACTAACAGTATCCTGTTGCCCACTGGCCAGCTGAAATCACAACAGCTCATCATGGACCTTGCCTGAATGCACCCAGCATTTTAACCCAGCCACCATTGTCCCCCCCTACTCTACCCTGTCCCATCTCCAACCAACATTCCTCTCCCAATTTCCCTCACCATGATAGAATAAGCTGGAACATTTCACAAAATTTATTAAACAGAAACAATGAACCATTGAAGAGAAGGGATGACAACACCTAAGGGACTCTTCACAACCACAGGTCAGCCCGCCCCCCCTCCTGGGGCTCCTCTGTCTCCAAGCTGGGGCCCTCCCACCACAGCCTCCCTTTCTGAGGACCCAGATGTGCCTCTTGCCAGGACAATGGCCTCTGGCAATGAACACTCACTTCCATTCCGGGAGCCCCCTGAGGGGCTGACTTGCTGTGGGGTGGCCCTTGCCCTGTGGCTGGCACAGAAGGGTCACAGGACACTGGAAAGCATAACAGGGAACACCCCCCCCCCAAGCCAAGGAAATTGAGTCACAAGGAACAACGGGGGTGGAACGTCAAAGCACAGTCCCTGGCCCTCCCCCTCCATCTAAGGTCCAGTGCTTCCTGCCCGAGGGGAGGCCGCGGTCTTGATCACCGAGGGGGTGAGCGTCCACCACACCCTCGCCGTCCATCCTTCCCGCCGGCTCCCGTCTCCGACTCCTGGGGACTGGGCTCAGGGCCTCCTGGGAGGAGCTGCTCAGAGAAGAACACACACACATCTCCACGAGAACAAGCGGCAGGCAGCTGGCCTAGATCTACACCGAGAAAGCAGAGGTTGAGCTCACGACACTGGACAGGAGCGAGCAGAGCCTTGGCTCGCCCGGAAGCTCACGGCACGTGCCCGGGCCTGGAGGTGGCCGGCCGCGAGGGCGCGGTCCTCTGCCCGGGGCTGACACACACCTCACGGCTTTGCACAGGAACTTTGCACAGGAACGATGGCTAGCGTGGGGGTGGGCGTTTGCCTGAGGTGGGTCACTATGGGGCTTACAGATAAGGCGGGCTTCCAGGGACAGGGACAGGAGCACCCTGTCCCGGGGACGGTGAATCGGGTTGGGGTTTTGCCTGCTGGGAGAGCCAGGCAGCTGGCACCCTTGAGATGGACTCTCTTCCCCGACGTCTCCCAGTCCAGTGCAGGTGGCAGGTGTATTCAGGTGCCCTCATCCAGGCTATGGATGGCCGATCAGTAGTGCTTCAAGGCTGGCCGCCCTAGGCTGGCCGGGTTTGGGGCTGACCCTGGGTTGGCAGCTCTTGAATTGTGAGTTGCCAAGCCAGGCCCCAGTTCTCCCTGCTTGCTCTCTCCACTTCTCCAGTGGTCCTGCACAGACAAAACAGAACAAACTGCCCCCCTCCAAGTCCTCCCTCATCCTCCTCCCACTCCTTTTCTACCTCCTCCTGTTTGGAGCAAAAGCTGCCTTCTATATCCACTCACTCCTAAGCCAGCTCTGGGTGCACTGACCTAGTGGGTGCCAGTGCCCCCACCTGGGGGTCTTCTTAGTCTTTGGTGTCCTTGCCCATACAGCCCTGTCAGGCTGCAGGAAAGGAAACTGCCTCTGGGATGGTGCTGGGCTCCCAGGGCTTTGGGGTCTGGAGACCTGGCCTTTATGGGCGGAAGGGCTCAAGGATACTGCCTTCCTGGGGCTCCCCTAGAGCAGTGTAGATGATCCTGAAGACAGGTTGGACCCTGTGACCTCCCCTGCGGAGCATTACTTCTCTCTCTTCGAGCTCTTCCTCAGAGGTATTGGCTCCTTCTGACAAGGATGGCCCCGGGGCAGGCTCCCCCATGCTCCATGTATCCTGGTGTCTGGTTGGCATCATTAGCTCTGAGTCTGTAGTGTGGGAACTTGGAGGTGGCCAGATGACATTGCAGACACGCATGTCAGAGCCCACCGTCTCACCGTCTTCATACTCTGTATCACTGGGGTCTCTGTGTGAGGCTTGAGATTCCCATGTGCAGGGTGTGGCAGCTCCCTGCTTTGGTCTGTGACACTTCCTGTGGGCTCTGCACTGAGCTTTCCCTGAGATGCATGTGCTTTTGTCCTGTTCGATAGAGTCCCTTCCCACTGGGAGAGGGAGAGGAGGCTTGACCTGGGCCTGCTGGCTATGTCCTACCTCACTTGGGTCTCCTGATCTTTGTCTGGGCTGTTCCTTCCCCTTTTTAAGATCTGTCTGCTGCTTGCCAGGGAAAGGAGTGCCTGGATCTCCTGAGCCTGTGCTTCCTAGGGCTTGGGGTGGCTCATGCCCCCAGCCCCTTCCTCGTATCCCAACCCTTCTTCGGCAACTTTAGGCCTCAGCATGGGTGGAGATTGGTCCTCAGCTTTGGGACATGCTGCCTGGCCATGGCCTTTTCCCATAGTACAGAGTTCACATGACAGTTGCCTGCGCTTCAGTGATGGGGACACACCTTCCTGTGCAGTCTGGGTGCTGTTTTCACTGAAACACCCTGCCTGCATGGTGACCTGAACTGCAGAATATCCTACTTCTGCTACTACCTGTCTGCCAGAGGCCCTGTGGCCCCTTCCTACTTGCCTCTGTTTCTCTTTCATCACTGCCATGGTGGTCTCCCACTCCTCTTCATCTCGAATGAGCTTCATTAATTCCAGAAAAGTGGGTGGGCACCCTCGCTGATCTAAGAGCTCAAGTTTGCCCCGGAGGGCAGCGGTCATGGAGGCCCGAGCTAGAATATGTTTGAGGCGAATCATGTCTGTGCTTTGCACTGAAAATGGGCTTTGCTGCACAGCTTTTTGCAGCAGGGGCTCTAAGCGCAGCAAAAAAGCAGAGATCTTCTCTGCAGACTTCTGGGAAGTCTGAAGAAACCTGAACTGTGAGGTTCTACAGTCCTCTTTATTCCCAAAGATCTGCTTTAGGGCATCCAGGCACTGCTCCACAGTCATGGAGTCATTATTGGCCAGGAGCACCCGCATGATTGACAGTGCGGGACCACGCAAGCTCTCTAGCAGGCGACGCCTCTTCTCTATCTCTGACACCTGCCACATCTGCATCATCTCAGTGACCTGCTCTAGCCAGGCTTCAAAACTCTCTTCCCCTGAGCCTGGGAGAGCATCTCCTGAAAACACTTTCAGCTTTCGGTACCACACGCTTTCCCTCAGAGGCTGCAAAACTGGTGGTTTGACTTGGTCCAAGTCCTCTGGCTCTATGCCCTCAATGGGAAGGGTGCTGTACCCCAGAGTTTTGGCCACATCTACCATTCTCCGGCCTTCATCTTTCAGGAAGTAAGTCAGCCTATTGATAAATTCATCATCTGGGTTCCGAGGTTTTACCACTACTTCCCAGGCACCCCCTTTTCCTGGTATCTGACTGGGTATAGCAGCATAGTTGACAGTGTCAGCCAATTCAATGAAGACTGCCTTAGCGTTATCTTCCCTCCTGAATATTCTGCCTAGCATCCTGTATGTACACAGGGGATGTAAGCCTGCCTTCAAGGTCTCCTTAATTTCAGCCTCAGTACACTCCATAGGGATGCCCACAATTAGCAGGGCTTTCCTGGGATCCAGGTCCATACCCTTGCACCAATCTTCTAACAGTGTCACAGCCATTGTTCCCTCTCTCTATACACTGATCTAACACAAGGGCAGTAATCTCAGAATTTTATCAGTGCTCAAAGAATCTGAGCCAATACTAAGTTGGATGGCAGAAGTGTCTCAAGTTTCCACAGCCTGTAATGCAAATGAGGTAAGAACATTGTTAATGCTTGCCTCCCACCCCCACCAAGAGTCCCTTCTCTGTCCCCATTTCTCCTCAGATATTTACTCTGTGCTTCCCAGGACTCCTGCAATCATTTTGTACAGGGTCTCCCACACAAAGCTACCTACCTCACCCTTTCCTGCTGACCTCTTCCTGCTGTGAGTTCCTCTTTGGAAGTCTGAAGACTCTGCTGCGTGTGACTCAGGTGCCTGTGGTGAAAAGGCCAATGTCAGGAGTTAGGGCCTGGTGCCTGGAGGCACTGCAGCAGCCCTCCTGGCAGCAGAGGATAGGAAATGCCCTGCTGCCTACTTGGAATTGTGCTGGTCCCAGTCACCAAGAGCACCTTCCTCAGTAAGGGGAAGAGTGGAAGCAGGAGATGCAGAGCTCCCTGTTTCTCAGGAAATGCCTGACATATGAGAAAGATGGCCGGAGCTCTGTGCAGTGTAATGAGAGTGGTGGGTGTGGAGAATGTGTAACAAGCTGCAGTGTTACCATAGATACCCAGAACAGCGTGGACCATGGGTTTCTATCATAGCAGAGTGTCATGTGGTAAGGTTAAGGCCCTTGAGGAGCAACAGGTGATGTCATTTGCCTCTAGCCAATGAAGCCTCTTAGCAACAGAGAGTGAAAGAGGGACAGGGAGGTGGGGTATGAGGTGAGCAGTGAGTGAGGAGTGAGCACTGAAAGAAACAAGAGCTTATAGTTTCAATTTGTGTGGAAGCTGGAATCAGAGGCAGAAAAGAAACACAGAAAGTGTCTCCACTGCCACACTACAGGAAAGACAACTCTCACCTTAGGTGAGGCCCTATGCTTCAGAGTCTGTGTACCCTGGCAGGCAGACCCTCCCCTTCTACTGTTTGCCAGGGTTACAGAGGTTACAGAGGCCCTTCCCAACATACCCCACCTCACAGCTGCTCACCCTGCTGCCCAGGGCCCCACTGGAGTGCAGGTGTTGTGATTTGGTTGGCACTAGACAATCAGCCTTCTCTGTCCAGACAGTTCCTAGCCCATGGGTAGTACATCCTGCTCCACTGGATCTGTCAAGGCAAGGTATAGGTATTTTTACTGTGTTTCTGTCCCGCACGCCCCTGCACAGTGTGAGCTGTACAAATGTCCACAAGGACCCTTGTGCAGTGATATATGAGAAGCTGCTCAACTCGAGGCTTCCCTTAGGGCCAAAAGGATCCTTATCACATGGCTGAAGGGATCCTTGTGCAGGTCTGCTTCCCTATCCTCACTGCAAAAGGCACCCATCAAGCCCCGCCCCTTAAAAAACCCGCCCCTCCAGAAACCCCACCCATTCATGAGCCCCGCCCAAATCCCCATCCCTTTGTAAATCCCGCCCATTCTGAAACCTCACCGGTACTGAAGCCCCGCCCCCTCCAATGTCCCGCCCTTCTAAAGCCCCACCCATTTGAAGTCCCGCCCCTTACGAAGCCCCACCCTTCTAAAGCGCTACCACTTTGAACCCCCATCCCCTTCGAAGTCCCACCCCTTCCGAAGTTCGACCGATTTTGAAGCCTCATCTCTACATATGCTCAAGTTCTATCTCCACCTCCACTTTTCTGAGCTCCTCTCCTGCCCATTATCTGAAACCCAGTATAAAGCCAGTCACAGTGGAGAACACTGGTAATCCCACCTACTGCAGAGGCTGAGGCAGGAGGAGTGCTGGAGCCCAGGTGGCAACAGAGCGAGATCCCATCTCAAAAAACAAAAAAAAACACCCATATGGCCCATACTGTTTCAAATACATCCCCCACTACCTCACATATCCCCCATTCCAGATTAGGAACACATCTAGTCACTGGTACTGGGCAGAGGCTAGGAGGGGTTGGGGCTAAGTGCAATAGGTCCCCCTGTATTTTCCACGCTTGTTGCACTGCTAGAAATTTTAGAAGGCCCTTCGGGTTCCGGGTCTGGTATAGTGGGATTCCACTTCCAGAAAAACCTTCTGACCACTGACACCTGGGATGCTGTGGAAAACACTAAGGGTTACTGGGGACAGTCCACTGTGATTTGGGTTGCTGTCTGTGCCCTGGGCCCAGCACCATACCTGCAGGCCAAGAGTTCCTCTAGATGTAACCACCACGCGCCTGCCACCGCTTCCGCGTCCAAACAGAATGGAGCACGAGGGTGAGGGTGTGGCGGCAAGAACATATATAGGATGACAGCCCCCCTCCCCCCCCCAGCTGCACACGGCCCTCTGGCAGCTGAGCCCTAACAATGTCACCCTCACCACTCCCCATCCCCCCAAAGCAGGATCCTCACTTTTACTCCCCCATTCCTTTACATTCAATACCTGGGGTGGATAGGAACTTCAAAATGAACAGAGGACCACTTACATTGTGCAATAGGTCCAGGTCCAGTTGTAGTATTGGCTCAAAAGAAAATGCGTGGCCTGCCACGAGACGCATCAGACCCAGCAACCATTGCGTCTACTATTGCACATGTCACTCCCTCATTGGATGGAAGATGTAGCGTCATAGCCACCAGTCACTCTAATTTCTATATTCAAATTGCCAGCACAGGGCCGGGTGCAAAGTACAGGGCCGGGTGCAATGTATATGGCTATTTGCAAAGTATAAGGCCGAGTGCAAAATACAAAGCTGTGTGCAAAATACAAGGCCGAGCGCAAAATACAACGCCGCCGAGCGCAAAATACATGGCTGAGTGCAAAGTACAGGCTGAGCACAAAGTACTGGCCCAGTGAGTGCTTACTAATTAAAAGTAATATTCCCTGTTTATTTTTTATTAGGATTTGTTCTTGGGAAGAGAGGGAAAAATACAGCAGCTTCCTGCATTTCACAAGGGCATGAAAATTTTCAGGGTGCACGGAGACAAAACTATCAAAAGATTGCACAACCAAGTATTGTTCAAGTATTTCCTGCCAGTGCCCAAACTGCTTCCTTACCTTTCCCAAAATGGATTTAAGACTTGGATATTTGCTCAGTGGCCCCAAAGCCTGTTCTGGAAAATTCTGTGGATGGATCACAAGTAACCAACTGCAAGTTGAACATGAATCCCCAGACATTGTGATGAAAATACAGTCTCTGAATCAGGAGGTCTGGGGCTGAGCAGAGAGTTTTCTAAAACTTAGGGACTGCATGTTGTGGGTCCCTGCCCACACTTTGTGTAAGAGGCTCTGAAGCCTGAGATTACATTTGAGAATTAAAAGTTGTGGAATTTTGGTGAAAGAATGGATTTGTACTCGTATATTTGAGATTTAAAAGAAAGGGCTTCAACGAATCCCACTATTAAGTTTAATTATAACACATGAATAAAAAGAAAAATAACAGGCTTTTCTAGAATTTGTTGATAAAAATGTGAAAAGCAGAAAAAAATTTAAATTAAAGGTCACTGAACAAGATGTCTGTGAGCATGGTCTGTTTTCCCACCTTCTTATTTTTTATAGTGCTGGGCATGGAAGCCAGGCTGTGCATATATTAAGCATGTGATCTACTACTGAGCTGCATCCCCAGCCTCTAACTGCAGCTATTTTTTATGTCTGAGGAGATCATGGAGTTCATGAAATCAATATCCTTTACAACACCACTTGAAGAGATCACACTCACCTCTGGAATACTCAGCTTTTTTTGCTGCTGCTACTAAAAGACCCAACAAGAACAATATTAGAGGAGGAAAATTTTATTTGGGTATTCATGGTTTCAGAGGTCTCAGTCCATAGACAGCAGGCTTCATTCTTCAGGGCTTGAGGTGATGCAGAATATCATGGTGAAAGAGTGTGGCAGAGGGCTGGGGTTGTAGCTCAATAGTGGAGCACTTGTCTAGTATGTGTGAGGCACTGGGTTTGATCCTCAGCACCACATAAAAACAAATAAATAAGACAAAGGTACTGTGTCCATTTACAGTTAAAATAAATATGTGTGTGGGTGTGCATGTGTGTATATATATATATATATATAGAGAGAGAGAGAGAGAGAGAGAGAGAGAAGTGTACAGAGGGAAGTAGCTCACATGATGATCAGAAGGCAGACAAAGACTTCCTCAGTGGTCAGGACTTCCCAGAGATTGTGTGAGTATGACTGAAAGCCCCTTTTCAGAATCTTGAGACCACACCCAGGGGAGTGGGATGGGGTATGTGCAAAAAATCCCCAGTAAGGGGGATTGAGCACAGAGGGGCCCTGGGGTGTACAAGAAACCTATAATAAGAGGGTATGAGTACATAGGGGGAATCTCAGTTACAGGAACCTACAAAAAATGGGGAATAAAAATTCTAGGCCCAGGCTCAGGGAAGGATAGTGGAAAGATCCCATATATACAAGTCTTCTTTGTTTTCCTTTGAAGAGTCTAAGTAGGGAAAATAAACTGGTGATGGTGGGAGTCAATCTGCTCCCATGGAGGACGCGTGGCCATCTGGCCCTTTGATTTCAACATCCACCGTGGCTGACAGATTATTCCTAATGTTCCAAACCACACAGGCCCTTTTCACGTCTGGGTTACACTGTAAAAATCTGTGACAGCCTCTATTTTAATCTGTGTATTGTATGGATGTCTATGTATGTGCTGGGTCTATATCATGTACGTGGTACCAAAATTGGCTTACAGATAGATAAATGAGTACTCATAAATTTAATTAATGGATCCAAATGCCTTTCAGTTTACATGACTTAAATAAAACTTTAACAAAAAGGGTCAATCTAAATTGGTAAGAGTAAATATGCCTTTGAAATTACTAACCCACACGTTTTTTCTGGTTGGCTAACCAATCAGAGTGTTGGTTTCTATGAAGCTAATCCCCTACTAATGGTGTGATTCTATGTACAACCAGAGACGTGAACAAATGTGCTCTATTTGTGTAATATGAATTGAATTGCATTCTGCTGTCATATAT